TTTTTTTTTTTTTATCTGTTTCAATATCTTCTTCCTAGAGTTCCCAATAGTAACAACAACAGCAACAACTCTCGGAAGAGATCGCAAAACGCAAATGGAGAATTCACAAAGTCGCGTTAGATTTATCGATTTATTGATAGATCGAAAGTAATACTTTTAATTCTTTATTCTTTAGAATTTTGTTTGTTTCTTTTTGTAAGATATCACGATAGATATAAATCAAATGATTTGTCTTGATCTTAACCCTTATCGTTTAAACGATCAATATGTCTTTCCTTTGATATTTCAAATGATCGAGAAACAAGAGAAAAATATACTATTATCTTCCAAGAATAATGTTCGTCGTCTTGTCATTCGTCGAAAACGCGATATACGCGGGCAACAAGAAAAAGAAAATGGATGAATATGATGGATAAGATGATGGTAAAGAAGAACACGAGCATTGAAATCACCAAATATCTTTTCCGATAACAAGCTAATCAACGTTATCGAATTTTACCATGAAATTTTAATTACTACGCCAATGTTATACCTAACTGAATCTGTATATCAAACATGGAGAACGTAAGAGAGAGAGAGAGAGAGAGAGAGAGAGAGAGAGAAGGAGGGAGAAAAAGAAATAAAATGATAGTTAAATTAAAACAGAGAGAGAAAAAGAGAGAGAGAGAAAAAAATAAAGACACAGTTTGGTGGAAACAAAAAAAAAAAACATTTCAACGGCAACAAGAAATACGGAGTTGTTCAAAAAAAAAAAAAAAAACATTGTAAATTCGTTATTATCTAAATAAATTTCTAAACTTCCCATTCCAATAAATTATATTATATTTATCATATCAAAAAAAAAAAAAAAAAACCGAACCAAATAGAAAATAGAAAAGATAAATAAAAGAAACACATTTTATACGTACACACAGAACGATGATAAATTAAAAAAACATAAAAAAAAAGAAAGAAAAAGAAATATGTAAAAAAAAAAAAAAAAGAAACCAAAAACCAAGTAGACATACACAAGTTAATTTTCACGTAAGGATTACGTTCCTCGAAAATAAGCCAATCCGCGTTAACCGGTTCGATTCCCCACTAAAAGAGATTCGCGAACGAAATCCGTTCGCGGCGCGTTACCAACGCCGTTCCTTTCCCCCTGTTTCCCCCCACCGCACCCCCATCCCTCTTACCTTCCACCACCCTATCACTCCAGGTCTCCTCGCGGACTTCCCCTTCTTTACTTCCCGCCCCCGCTTCCACCATCATCCGTGTGCGAAGCGATACGTGCGCTTACTCTCACACAAAACACACGCATATACCACCGTTTGTGCGTAAATATGTCCAGCATTCGTTGCATATGTATGCACATTTATATGATACACATTCGTATAAATATATGTGTGTGTGTGTTTTGAGAGCACACGCTTACTCGGATCGAACTTGGAGAAGGAGAGGCAAGAGAGAGAGAGAGAGAGAGAGAGAGAGAAACAAGCTCGAGATCTTTTCGAGCTTCTTCGTAAAAGCGACAGATAGCATGCCTCCCTTCTCTTTGCCCCTTTTACCACCTCCACCACCACCACTGCCACACGCTACTTCTACTTCTCTTCCTCCACTTCCTTTGCGGCTCCACGCGCGTTTATTTACACGCGCGAGCACGTATACCGAGCGTGCGTGCGTGCAAGCGAGCGAGCGAGAGAGAGAGAGAGAGAGAGGAAAAAAGAAGACAGAAAGAGAGAGAGAGATATATATATATATATATATATATATATATAAAGAGAGAAAAGGAAGGGGATAACGCGCGTCGCGAGCTATTTTTCAAAGGCAAGCCACGACACGACGACGACGACGAAGACGAAGCGAAGACGACGGACAACGACGCATCGTTACACACACGAAGAGGACGATCGGCCTCGAAGACGACCGAAGCGACCGTCGTAAGGTGGCGCGCGCGCGCGCGCACACGATTCACCGGATTTTTTGCAACTACTACTAACCGCGACTTCATATTTTTCTCTTTCTCCTTTTATCACTACTAACACTCTATATCTCTCTTTATTTGTGTACACATGTTTTTGGGCGCACGTGTATATTGCAATATCCGTGATATACGTTTTTGATTGCATGTTTATATGTATATATGTGTTTATATGTATGATCTGCTCTCTTTCTTTCTCTCTCTCTTTTTCTTTTTGATCATACATGTGTGAGAAAAAAAATGCTTACACACTCGTATAGTAGTCGACCTACCGAACGAGGAACGATTTAATTTTCCACGAATTCCCCTTCTGATCTTTACTTATACATTTTTATGCTTCTTTCTATAATCATTTATATTGTGTTTTTTTTTTTTTTTTAATTGTTTTTGCTTACATTTAATATTTTTGTTGTTGTTGTTGTTATTGTACTTATTGCGGTTTGAACAAATTTTTTAAATGCAATGATCGACGTTATTACGATTTTCTTTTCCCGTTATTACGATTGAGATCAAATTTCGTTTCAAGAGATAATAATAAACATGGCGACGTCGTATCCGACAGGAAATATTGAAAAGAATCAAGAAGTATTCTAAGACGTTCCTCCTGCCTGTATTAAATAATCCATGAAATTTAGAAATAAAGAGATAAGAAATATCTTTTTGAATGTGATTTTTCAATTGGACGTTATTTACGCGTATATTTATGTGTCTATCTCTTTTTATTTCTCTTTCTTTTATTCTACTTGTGCGCGTTTATGTGTTAAATATAGTTGTGTTAGTTCGCTAAATAATACGTATCTCTTAGAATGTTAAGAGAGAGAGAGAGAGAGAGAGAGTCAAGTAAGTTCTCCTTAGCTTATCTTTGACAAAGTATATGGAAAAGAAAAATGTCGTCGCGATATTCGTTAACTCGCGCGTTTAAACGTGATACTTCGATCGATGATAGATAGGTCGAAGGTGATCGAATGGATTATCTCAAAACTTGTTCATTCGTCGTTGAGAACTCGCGCAATTATCTTCTCGAAGATGCACACATACTACACATATTTATATATATATATATATACATATTTATTATAACAAATATATATTTATGTATGTGTATGCATGGAACCGTGCTACTAAACTTTCAAGTAATTGGTCGACATCTTTATTTTTTTAATCTCCCGGGCTTTTTCAAATTGCAAAGTGCTTGTTTCATTTCAAAAATAAACAAATTAAAAAGAAAAATTATAGACAAAAACAAAGTAAATGAAAATAATAATAATAATAAGAAGAAGAAGAAGAAGAAGATATTTTTTTTTGCACAAATTAAAATAACATTATTAATAATCAAATCGAAAGTAAGTTACTTTCTAATTCGTATTAATAAAAAATTGAAAAACGTTACAAACCTTTACTGATTTCTCTTATCGTTCGTGTATTATTGTCGACATTTGTTTATTTTTATAATACATTGACAAAACTGAATCCTTAAGTTGTCTCGAACTTAAGCAGTAGGAAACCTTACTTTAACGTCATCCATCGTCACGTGGTGATCGACGACGCACGCACAGATGTTTCTCAATTCAATCGATGTATGTATATATATATATATAGATATATAACCAATTTTAGGTTAGAACACTAACATATAAACAGATAATACAAAAACGTGTGATAATTACTGATCGATGTATGTTCAATGTGCAAAATCGTAGACTAATTTTCGAAGGAATACCTACGATTGCGCACATTATTACGGATACGAGTGTATACATACATATACACATATACTCAAAAAAAAAAAAGTAAAAGACAGAGAGAAAGAGAGAGAGAGACATACATGTGTGCTAGACTCAATCTATCGTCTGCGTCCTCGTTTAAACAGCCGAAGAAGTACATACACACATATCCAATTTGATAGAGCGCACTGAGCACAGATGTTACAGACTCGAAATAAGACAATCGACTATCGAGCGGGAAATCGATGCAACGCCATGTCGTCCAACTTCGTATAAGAAGAAGAAGAAACAGTATTTTAGAAATTTCTCACTGATTCTCTCTGTCTCTCTCTCTCTCTCTCTCTGTCTTCCTTCCCTCTCTTGTACTTTCTTTAATAGTTATTTTTTTAGAGTGGGGGAAAGAAACGGAAAAAGGAACGCAAGGTACAATATACTTTTCGTCAATAGTTAATAATATTATTTCGAATGAAATAAAATAATATTGAAATCCGTGTATAAGGTGCCCTGAAAACCTCTATGCATTGCTAAGCAGGCTTAAGCAAGGATGTGTATAGTTTACGATATCTTGCTTTCTAAAAAGACATCGATGCGCACGAACGACGCGGCGACGGGTTAGGATCGAATTGGAAAGAGATACTATACGTCATTGGGGGAAGACGGAAAGAGAGAGAAAAACACAGAGAGAGAGAGAGAGAGACAGAGAGGTGGGGATAACCAGAGAAAACGGAAAAATAGGAGGCGTATGTAACGCGATTGAAGAAATATCGAACATACAGTGAACTGAAGAATAATTCCAAGGAATGTATATGTGTATATATGTATGTATGTGTGTGTGTGTGTTTTACAGTAAATCGAAGGGTTGCGAATAACACCAAAAAGATATGTATATATAATTCATATCCTTACTAATCAAATCTTCGAGTGTCGTTTCATCGATATAAAGTAAATAAGAAGCGTAGCGATGATTTTTGAGAAGATCTGCTGACGCACGATATTGCATGCATCTGTTCTCTTTTTTGCATGTCCCCCTCGAATATCAGTAATCCATTTTGTTTCTTCTTAATACATATGTTTATACTACCGTATTTCTATATGCGTATGATTTGTGTATATATATACATATTATATATATATATATGTAAATGTATTTTAACATATATATACATATATATATATATATATATGCTCGTGCAGAGTCGCGTATAAAGGTACAATAAAGACGGCGCGTGGACGGTCGCGGCTGAACTGATTGTGGGGGCCGAGCCACAGGTGTCATCGCTCGACAGCGCCCCCCACCCCGAATACCACCAGCCCGTAGCAGCACCGTATATCCGCAACTCCATCTCTTTCCATTCCCCACTCTTTCTCACTCTTTTACCCTTTCTCTTATTCTCTGTCTCTGTCTCTCTCTCTCTCTCTCTCTCATTCTACGCTACATTTAATGAACGCGTGCGCGCAACGGTTTTCTCTATTTTCCGCGAAATTTAAACGCATCACCTGTTAACTTACGTTTCTTCTTTTTTCTACTTTTTCTTTTCTTTTCTCTGGTTCCTCTTTCCCTCGTTGATAAAATGAAAATATAATATTTACTTTTTAATATACTATTTTCTATTATATACGTAGTAACATATATATATATATATATATATATAAATTTCATGAAAACTTCTATGAACAGTTTTTATTCGTAGAGATAGATGAATGGATAAATAAAAAAAAAAAAAAAATTTTAATACATACTTACGTATCGTGGTCACATATTGTCGAATTTTATATATTACCTGTAAAAATCCGATATATCTAATATTAATATCGGTTAATTTAAATAGATATTTATTCAAAAATCAGTGTATTTCGTGATAAAACATATAACGCCTGTTATTATTACGGCATAACCGCACGTGGATTTTACGTGCACTTTCATTCATCCGATAACTCACTCATGCATAATTACTTTTCTCATCGTTTTTCTTCATTTTTTATTTTCATTTTCGTATTCTTTTCCCTCGTGGTTTTTATTTCTTCTTTTTTTTCTTTCTTTTTTTGCTTGTTTGCATACTTTTACTAGTTATATTTTTATACACAACATATATATATATATATATATATATATATATATATATATTTATAATTTTCTTTTTATTCGCCATACTTATTCATAAAATGTTTTCTAATTCATATTACCTTACTCTTATTTTCTTGTTTAATTCATTCCTTCATTCATTACACGTACAATAATATATTTCTTCATTTTAACGTTTATAGTTTTATGAAGCTGATATATCTAATTGTATTTCTAATTACATATACAATATTTAATATGGCGCGCAGCCACCGATAGCTATATGCTACGCAATTTCCCACGCACCGAGAACATTTTTTGTTCTTCTAAATAGATAAAACATCCCCTGACTGTCTCCAAATCTTCGTCCCCCATCCTCTATTCCTCTACTTTACTTTACCTTACTTTATGTTTCTTTACTTTCCTTTCTTCTTTTGTTTGTTTGTTTGTTTGTTTTTTGTCTCATCTTCATTCTTTTGTCATTGGAAAAGAAATTAGCTCCACCAAAATGAGAGATTATCTTACGTACGACTATATTGCGAACATTTTTGTTGTGCGCCCTCACACAATTAACATTGAAATCTTTTCTAACGATTAAACGTTCGTCACAAATCTGTTTAAACGAACGAACGAAGAAGAACAACACTGTCGTCCTGTTGTATTTAAATCTTTGTTCCAAACATCGAATCAATATATCTTTTTACTAATTTTGATATTGAAAAATGAAGAAAGAAAGCTTTAATAAAAAAGAAAAAAATATATTACATTTTCTTATTGTTTTTTTGTTTTTTTTTTTTTTTTGTGCTATTCATCATTATTATCGTTATAAATTATTGATGAAAGAATAGTTTTATAAATTAATACATAATATATTCATAGATCATTTATTAATTATCAATTTATTTTTCTTATATTAATAAAAACTATCGAAGATCGTTGTAGTTATGTTGTAATTGTTGTTGTTGTTGTTGTTGTTTACTGATTCTTACTCAACGTTCTTAAAAAACAAACATATATAACGATTCGGTTGGAATAACTCTTTACAGAGGAATAGAATTACTTATACAATATATATATATTTAATGATACATCGATAATGGTGATAAAATTATTATTATTATTATTTATTTTTTTTTTGTTTTTAAATAAGTAAGAGATTTCCTCTTAAAAAAAAAAAAAAAAAATACCAACAACCGGAAACGTGCGCTGCTCGATAATAATATACAACATCTCATTTAGCGTTTTCTTCTTATTTCATACAAGTGATTTTCTTTTTCTTATTTTTTTTTTTCTTTCTTTTTTTTTTACGCACATGTGACAGACACACATCTCCAAATAAGAAAACTTTTAAAACTTTTTTACGAAGCGGCAGAATTCATTCTTTCATTGATATATATATTATAATAATCGTCATCATTGTTGTGTAGTCGTCGCCGTCATCGTCGTCATCGTCATCGTGTTCTTCTTCTTCTTCTTCTTCTTCGTCGTCGTCGTCGTCGTCGTCGTGGTCGTCGTCGTCATCGTCTTCTTCTTCTTCTTCTTCTTCTTCTTCTTCTTCTTCTTCTTCTTCTTCTTCTTCTTCGTGTCATCATCTTGTTCTTCTTCCTTTATACGTATTATAACATGTTGTGTCTACGTAATGGTGGAACGAAGACGCTAATTTTTCGCGCTTTGGTCGATGATCGTTGATGCTCTCGAAACGCGCAAGCGAACTTTTCAAGTTAACAGTGATGAACGCCTTCTGTTTTTTTTTTGGTTTTTTTTGTTTTTTGTTTTTTTTTTTTAATATTATTATTTTATCTTTTTTTTTTTTCTTGTCCTAAGGAAATTTGTTGCGTCGTGTAGCATCGTAAGGCACATTTTCGACGCGTCCCGAGTCCTCCTCCACTTCGATTCGACGTTCCATTCATCAATATACATGTAGTAGTAGTTAAGTTGGTAAAATAGAGCAATTTGGACGCGACTCGAGAGAAATTAACCATCGACTCGCGTCTCTCTTGTTTATCTCATTTGTTGTTGTTGTTTTTCTTTTTCTTTTGTATTACTTTTTCCTCGAAAGAACGAATTTCTACGCTCCTTTTTTTTTTCTTTTTTCTTTTTTTTTTTTTCATAGCGTTACCGCGTGTGAAGACACCAATGTCACGTGACATTACTATCAATGAGATAGTAAAAAACCCATGGTACAATTATACACACATTCATATATCATTTTGCTATATCTTCTATCTTAAATCATACCCAGACATCTACCTCCTCCTCCTCCTCCTCCTCCTCCTCCTTATCCTTATCCTCTCCTTTTCTTCTTCCTCCTACGACTCTTATTATTTACGCCGATAATTGCACCTTCCTCTCTGTGTGTAATACATGTATGACAATTTCATATGTGTATATTTGTATATGTATATATATATATATATATGCACGCCTACGTATACATATGTGTAGATTTGAATCTCGACCATCACGATGATAAAAAGAAATCTACCGTTATTCGATTGTATTTGGCGTTTATCTGATTTTTTGTTCTCTTTCATATTTCTTTTTCTACATCTGTTCTAATCTATAGAGATAGTCCACCACTCTCTGGTCAATGATATTTTATTCTTATTTTCTTTTTTCTTATGTAAAAATGACTGTTTCAAAATTACCGGATTGGATTTTAGCGAAAAAATGTTAATACATTATTTTCACGATAAATGCGTCCTTTTTTTTTTTGTTCTTCCTCAACACGAAAGTAGTATATATTTAAGTAGATAATATACTCGCGACATTTTGGGTGTGTTAGTTTGTTTTTTTTGACGTGCATAGATGATTCTCTTAATTCATATTTGTCCTTCTTTTATTTTCTCTTACTTCGTTGTGTTGTGTCTCTTTATCTTGCTTGTTTAATCTCTTTCTTTCTTTCTTTATTCATTCATTCATTCATTCATTGTCAGATATGTGGACATATTTACCAATGATTTTCGCGACAAGTCGACGCATATTTAATTATTCTTCTATCTCTCTCTCTCTCTCCTCTTTCTTTAATTCTCTCTTTCCATCTATGTGTATATTAGCGCTGGGAAACAACGTTAGGTTTATTGCAATAAATATGATCTTAGCAAAAGCCCGACGATGTTCTTCCTTCATTAAAACCTGGCTCGAATGTAAACAGCCGAGGCATCATGCTCACCGTAACCGACACGTTTTGCATGCTTGTAAACCTCATTCGCTGCTGCAGCCAATGGCAAAGGTTGTTCTAATTGATCACTCATTTCTAATGACAGTCTAAGATCTTTCTGCATGTGTTGGAGAGGTAATTGCGTCGGGAAACCACCTTCAATAATAGCTAAAATATCAACAACACAAGAAAATATTATATTATTTGTTTATAAAATTACTCATAATAATAATAATTTATTCAATATATATATATATATATATTTTTTGTTTTGTTTGTTCAAAATCCTTACCCTTTCCTTTATCGATAATTGCTGGACAAGCTAAAGAAGTCAATTCTAAAACTTCAAGAACATCTTTCTGTTGAAGTCCCGCTCTATCAGCAAGAGCCATACTTTCGGCAAGACCCGCCAATGTTACGCCAGCCATCAATTGTAACACGAGATTCATCTTGGAAGCGTTGCCAACTACGCCAAGGTAGAAACTGTTTTTACCCATTGCCTCGAAACACGATTGGCAATCATCAAATAGGGTACGATTTCCAGCCGCAAGAATGACCAATGTTCCTTCTTGTGCTTGAGTCTTGCTACCTTGCACTTGTGCTTCAAGGTAACGACCACCCTTTCCATTAATCGCCTCGGCGATGTCCTGCGATGTTTCCGCGTCTATTCCTGTCATTTCTACGTAACCCTTGTCAGAAGATATCTCCATCAATACGCCGCAGTTACCAAATACCATCTGAAAGATTAAACTTTAGTGAGTTTGTTGATACAACGTTTGCCGATATATTTGCTGACTGGCCTTTTACTACTTCAAAGATCTATTTCTTTGATCATTTATTTACTTTTTTTATTTTATTTTATTTTATTTTTAATACATACGTGCTTTGCTGCTTGCGGATCAGCCACGCAAGAAAACGTGATGTCAGCTGCCATTACGACATCCGAAGGTGTTAATCCCTGCTCTGCTCCAGCCTTTACAAAATCTGCACACTAAAAATAAATAAACATATGCCATTTAGTCATTTCATAAACAAAATAATAATGCAATGAAATAATATGCGGTAGTTTTAATTTATCAATATTCGTTACTTTTCTTAATTAGAAATTAATTAATGTAATCCTTCGAGACAAAAGATCATTAGCAGAAAGAAATGTTAAATTTGTTAATAATTTATTTATGCCCCGGGTACTTGGATTCAAATAATCCAGCACTAACCGGTCTTCTTAAAAAGCATCGTGGCGTCATCTATGTAACAGTGAAAGAATTGAAAATAACAGTTAACGTTTGAAATACCGAGAGATGGCGCCACAACGAGGAACGATTCGTCTCGGTTCGTTCTCGTCGTGGCGTCAACTTCCGGATGGCTACGAAGCGATGTAAACGGTCATGGCAAGTTGGCCACATCGACAAACGACGCCATTACGAGAGACGCTGTTCAACACGTTTCTCCTTTAATCGAGCCTTATGTTACTTAGAAAATGTTCACATGTGACTTAATAGTAGGTGTTTTCCCAATTAATTCATATTGAAGAAGATTTGAACTGATGATTTCGTAAATATATATATATACATTTATTTAGCTATCTTTTTCAGAAAAGAGAGAGAGACAGAGAGAGAGAGAGAGAGTGTGCGTGGGAGAGTGTGTGTGAGAGAGATAGAGAGAGAAAGAGAAATAAAATGAGAGATAATATAAAAGGAAAGGTAGAACACGATGCGCAGTTCTCGCGTAGAATTCTCTGGAAGTTTCACAACGCATCGGAGGGAGAGATCGTCATAGGACAAAGATGGCCGCGTTACTCGTCGACGCGACACGAACCGCCGAGGCCGTTTCGAATTTCTCGAACGGGATACTCCTCTCTCAACAACAACAACAACTCGTTGAGACGTTTATTTTTTGCTTGTTATTTTGTTTCCCCTTCGCAACAGCAAAACCAAAAAAAAAAAAAAAACACAAAATACCTTAAGGTGTTTGGTAATTTTCGTCAAAACGTTTTTATCTCGTGTCGTTTTATACTCTTATTATTATTATTATTACTCTATCAAAACAACTTTTTCAATTTGCTTTGTTTTTTTTTTCTTTTTTTCGTACAAAAAAAATCATCTCACATATGGGACGAGGCCGACCGGTTTTGATAACTGCTGTTGCTATTTTTTAGCTGTTGATATTTGCTAGCCCGGAAGGACGTTTCCTTTCCGAGAAAGGAACGAAGTTTCTTAACGAAATGTGGTTAATACTTGTAGACGATTATCGGTCGGCTAACAACACAAGTTGTTCTTCTTGGTGTGTTACGTGAAATGAACGTATTTATACGTTCGTTCGTACGTACGTACGTACGTACATTTGTCGCATGTCCACCGCCCTCTTTTACTCTTCCCCTTTCTCCCTTTCCCATAGAGACCCTTCTTCTTCTTTTTCCTCTAACCACATCGAATCCTTTCTCCTCCCTCTTCCTCTTTTTCCACCCGTTCACATATAATAATTATACTCGACGACGCGTGTTTACGTTTATCCGAAGAGGTCGAGAGCACATTATTACAAGCGTGTTTTATTTGCATCGTGAAAATGGAATTTGTTTCTTTCAGGTCGACTCTTGTTTCCACTATACAACTTCTGTAAAATGAATTGAACGAAAGGAGACGAGATCTCTAAATGAAAATTCATGAACAATGTCCGTCAGCAAAATGCTGAATTTATTAACAAAATCGATGCTTTCCTAACAGAATATATTGTAGAAATATATACGAGAGATAGAATAGAGAGAGAGAGAGAGAGAAAAATAGAAAAAACTTGTAGTACGTCTCTGTGGTGGTCGGTCACTCGGCCAGAACCGAAGCATTATAACAAACCGACACACAACGTCTGTCGCCATCTTTAATGGCTGATACAGAAAGACCACTTTTCTTCTCCTGCTCTCCCTCCTCCTCCTCCTCCTCCTCTTTTTTCTTTTTCCTCCTCAAAATAACCTAACCGTGATTTTTTAAAAATGCGCATACATTCCTCCTCGATCTCGTTCGTTTCCTTTTACGCATACATGCACGTTGTTTGTTGTAAACGAAGAAAAGGAATCCACCCAAGAAAGATATACGAGTGATTCTCTAATAAACACCTGTCCTTGAAATTCTTTACGTGAGGAGTAGTTCTATACGTGATCGTGAAAATCAACAAAATGGCGACAATTGATGATCAATTACTTTACCGATTTTTAAAAGACACATTAAATAATACAATGAACAAATCAATTCTTTTTCAACGCTTATATATCCCCTATTTTTTTTTTTTTTCGTTTATACACAGGTATTATTTTCTCTACCTCTGTCTATCGATTTCTCTGTTTTTTTTTTTTTTTTTTTTATATTTTTTCATTTAACATTGCTCGACAAATAATACATTGACCCATTAACAGGAAGTTACATAGTTCCCTTAGTTGTTCGACCGGAAGCCACAGATGCGGCGTGGATATTCCACGTTGAATAAACTTGGATCGTTGATTCGTTCGTTCGTTCGTTCATTCGTTCGTACGGTAGTTTCCTAAACGTATAAAGTGAGTTGTTGTTAGTGTACCGTTGCAAAGAGAGATATGGCCGCCATCATGTGTTACATCACAATTTCAGAAGAGCAGGAAATTCAGACATTTTTTATTTGAAACTCTTTACGTACGTGACTGTCGTTAAAAAAAAAAAAGTAACACTTAAGCATCTTTCTCTCTCTCTCTCTCTCTCTTTTTATCTCTCCTTCTGAATTTTTTTTTTTATCTGAAAAAGCAATAAACAGACTCGTCACGGTCGACTTATCTCGTTCAAAATGATTATATGCTCGTCTTTTCTCTTTCTCACGTGGCATATGTTGTATCAATCTAACACACGTATTAAAGAAATAAAAAGAAGGTATGTATACCTGAAAATTAACGACCAATAACAATGATAAGAAAAAGAAAAAGAAAAAAAAGAGAGAGAGAGAGAAAGAAAGAATTTGATCAGAATTTTTGTATTATCTTTCTCTTCCTCTCCCCTTTCCACCCCCTTTTCTTTATCATGACATACGCAAATACCAACACGAGACGACGACGACGACGACAACATTCGTCATTTCAATGGCCTCGTTGTTGTTCGTTGTTGGTTGCCACGTTCAACCACAATTTTTAGATCGTTCACATTCATCCCGGAAATGACAAATACGAATGATTATCTGTTGTTGTTTTTTTTTGTGTGTGTGTTCAAATTCGTTGGCGGTTAATTCAAATTGTCAGAAACGATGAAATCGTAATTACAGAAAGATACTTTATATTGATAATTTAATAAATGATATTTTAACGATTCGATGAAAATTTTCTTAAGTCATTATAAGTACATATTTGTCAAACAATTAAAAAATGAATTTTGGTAAAATTTGAAACACTGTGTGTCGGTTGGTTATCCATTTGTTTATCTATCCGTTATGATAGAACATTTTATTGCTCGTTACGATGCTACTTAATGTCGCGGAAAACAACACACAACCCTATTTATTCTAAGAAATAATTAAACGCTTGACTTATTTCTAACAGTTTGCTTAAGAATAATAATAATAATAATAATAATAATAATAATAATAATAATAATAATAATAATAATAATAATAATCGTCATCATCGTAAAAAATGTTAACTGCTAAAGGACTTCAATTTGATCGTCAAATGGTGAATATTTTTATATTCATTGGAATAACATTATTTAACAAAAAGAAAAAAAGAAAGAAAGAAAAGAGAAATATATATATAGAGAGAGAGGTTACAAATTATAAATCCGGATAAATAATTGGAATATGTAATGGTTCGATTGATTACTACGTCATACAAGATTCACGTATTAAATCCCTGATTTAATTCCCACGTTGCGCGGGCGGCAGGAATTCTGAGAATATATCGGCGGTGTGTTTAATCGAGTTATCGTTACGACAAACACGCGGTACATACAAATTTACAAACAGATATATGTATATATCTCTTTACTACACTACTACTAACTTACAAGTTTGCGATAGGACATTTGGTCGATGGTAGTAGCACGATCGATAATCCCAATCAAATCGCCAACTCGAATCACGTTCGTAATCATTGACGCCGACGTCGTCGTCGTCGTCGTCGTTTTATTCGATGGGTTTTAGTTGAAGCCAAGGAAATTCGAAGCATTGAATAAAATTCTACTAATATAGTTAAATGGTGTAACAGCAGCAGTCTTTTCATAATGGGGAGAACTTTGGAAACATAAACAAATGTATTTTTAAGTTTGTATCAACGTTAATTTGAGTTTGTGCAAGGCCCCCCCCCCGGCCCCCCAGCATAGCACAAATTCCAACGAACATAATAAAATATCGTTATTGTGATGATAATACGATATTATTGCATATAAGGAAGGATGATACTTGATCACTATTATATCATATTCTCTTGAAAATCGATAAATCGATTTTAATGACCGAAAAGAAACCTACACGAGTATAATTACATATACAATACAATAATACAATACTCAAGAACTTTCATTTTTCTCTCCTCTTAAAATCTTTCTTGTGTATTACCTACACAAAAATTCGATTTACATTTACAATGGATTTAATTAATCATTTAACTTGTTATTTGACTTAAAATGCAATTAGTCAAATAACGCGTGACAATGAACAATTAAACCTCAAGTTTATACAAAAGTTAAACAATAATTTTCTAAAACGTTCATGCATTCCATTATTTGTTTTCCATACAACTTTACCTCATGCAATAAACAAATATTTGTTTTCATTTCATTTAACACATCCAATTAATCTAACCCTAACAATATTTTCATTGGGAATAAACAAACAGATCTAATTTAAATTAACCTATATACAAAGATTGTCTTTGGTGATGAAAATCAACACGACGACGACGACGATCGTGAAACGTTTTAATACAACAGGCGAACCGATTTCCACGCAATGCGACGAGAAACGACCTTGAACCAGAGAAGAGGAAAT